CACATACAACTGACTACTTTTGCTCTTCCAGTCCACTGACTGCAAGAAGCGCTCTTACCTTTCAGCTCTGTATTTTATAGAACCCACCACATTCAGTAAATTTTCCTCAAATAGTCAAAACTTTCTTTGTTCTGGATACATGCCCTCAAACAATTCCCGGATTACTATTAATAGATGGGTTCCCCAGTGACTACAGTATTAGGAAAAGGGTGTCTTGATCATGGACATATAACTTCTGGTCATTAGAAACCATACAGGTATGTTCACCATGTACACTAATAGGCTGACATCATCATGGACACATCAGCCTCTTTTTAGGTAAGTGTGGTGGTGATGGCAGTGTAGTCGCTAAGTCATGTCTGACTCTTTGCGACCCCATGGACTGTAGCCCAACAGGCTCCTTTGTCTATGGGATTTTCCAGGCAAGAATACAAGAGCAGGTTGACATTTCCTTTTCCAGGGGACCTTCCCAACCCAGAGATCAAACCTGCATCTCCTGCATTGGCAGGTGGATTCTTTACCACTGAGCCACCAGGAAAGCCCAGGTAAGTGTGACTTGGTGGGAAAACGACAACTCTGCGTCACAACAAAGGCATGGCTCCGGAAAGGGCATATGAACAGCCCAGCAGAAGCCCCAAACACCCCCCTTCAACTTCATCAGTCATGACTGACTGCCCACCTTCCTATTTCAGAAGGTAACCCCATCAACCTTCCATCTGTCCAAGCCTGAATCCTTAGCATCATCTCTGAGAGCTCCTACATCCTCCACAACCAGAATCAGAAATTACAGCTTCTGACTATTTCTTTATCTATTCCTTCATCTCCCTGACAGTGCAGGCCATCACCACCCTTCAGGTTTCAGCTCCCTAACCTGGTCTCCCTATCTTCTATCTCTCACTTTTTTCCAAAAACGTTCTCCACAAAGTCAGAGTTCCTCTTCAAAGCAAATCTGATTTCATGTCTCCACCTAAAGTCAAAAGTTTCTGCCTGCTCCCAAGATAAGATCTAACCTGTTTAGGCACCACAAACCACCCCCCGCTGAGCTGGCCCTGAGGCTACATTCCCAGTCTCTACCTTCTCACCCCTCTCTTACCCACATTCCAGCCACATCAACCACCTGGAATTCTTGAACCTGGACTGGTTCTGCGCCTTTTTGCACCCAGTACCTTCACATGAAGTTCCCTCTGTGAGAAGTGCCTATGGAGACAGCTATGTATATATTCAAAATTCAGTGCAGACATCACAGTCCCTGTGCTATCTTCCTAAGCACCTCCCCACAAGAAGAAAGCCATCTTGTCTGCTCCTAGGGTGTCTCTTTTCTGGCTGCTTGTAAACCTTTTCCTCTCCTTACTTTTTGGTTTTCTCTTGAAGGATTGTTATCACTTAGTCACTAAGTCGTATCTGACTCTTTTGTGACCCCATGGACTGTAGCCCACCAGGCTCCTCTGTCCATGGAGTTTCCCAGGCAAGAATACTAGAGTGGGTTGCCATTTCCTTCTCCAGGGAATTGTCCCAATCCAGGGATCAAACTCGGGCCTCCTGCACTTCAGGCAGATTCTTCACCTATGGAGCCACCAGGGAAGCCCTCCTGAAGAGTTATGGTTAGATAAATGAGATGTTACTGCCTAGGTGCTACCTGGACAGAATGTCTTGGCATCTGACTTGTACTGTGTGTGTTCAGTTGCTCAGTCGTGTCCAGCTCTTTGTGGCCCCAGGTACTGTAGCCTGACAGGGTCCTCCGTCCACGAGATTCTCCAGGCAATAATACTGGAGTGAGTTGCCATTTCCTACTCCACTGACTTGTACTGGGTGCTCATTAAACAAGAGCTGAAGGAAGAAGCTCATGAATCATATGCCCCTAAAATCTTACTTACAATCTCAGTTGCCCTTATGAACCTTCTTCCAGATCTCTATGTATCTCTGAAGATTATTAGAGATAGAACACAGAGATAGAACAAAGTCCTACAAGCAACCGGGAGAGGGCAATTTTAAACATCACAATCATTAAAACAGTGTACTTGAGTCATGATTTATGATTTTCACTGAATCTCATGTCATGCTCCTAGAACCTTGGAAGTAACAAGGTTACTACACACAGTTATTGACCCAGCCTCAAACACAAGTCTGGTATGCTTTTCACTCTATCGGGCTTATCTCAAATATATGCCATAAATCCAGTCACAAAACTCTGTCTTTTATTAACCAGGGAGCTGTCCAGACTAATCATAACTGTGGCTACTTAACATGTATTCTGAGGAGGACACACATGTGTGCATATGTGTACTTAGCACACAAGAGTTTGAGTACCTCCCTACTCCCAAATTAGAAGCAGCAAATTAAAAAGACTACCGAAGGCAGGCCCAATGTCAGAATCAAGGAAAAATAGCTGTCAGAAAAGACACAGATCAAAATCATGAAAGGAGAAAATCTGAGGGCCTGAAGTCAAGCCAGTCCTCTGAGGCCATGGAAGAAGCAAATAAATATTCATTCCCACCCCAGGGGCCTGGAAAGGCCTCAGTCATATAAGCTTTGACATGTACAGTGGGGTGACCTCGAGTCACACACACGAAAGAGTCACATTATGAAGGCAAGAAGACATAGCGCTGGTTTTAAAGAGATTTCAATCAAGACGGCTAAAGCAGAATTCCGGTGCTTAAAGGAATGCAGCTGTCTTGGAAATTTTACTTAGGTGGAATAATCCTTACTCTACACAACATATGTAACTATATGTCCACGTTTGAGGGCACTCCAAGACCAACAGATTCTAAAATTAGTTTCATTAGTAAGTCATCCTACCAAGTCATCTGTAAATGATGCCAGAGAAACTACAGATCGAATTTAAGACCTCAAGGGAAAACTCCCTTCCTACAACACAGGGCAGTAGCTTTGCCCCTCCCTAAGCGCTGCCAGCATGACACACAGCCCCGCACACAGCCCGAGCCCACGCGCGGGCACACACAGCGCAGGAGGCACCCGCAGGGCACAGCGGCTCTCTGCACAACCTGCAAAGGAGGGAGGCTGGGGAGGAAGCTAAGAGTAAAATGGGGCGGTGGAAAAACTGAACGGGAACAGCACACGAGGGTGACTGAGGCCTGATCCACTGGTCGAGCCGACGCCCACCAGGCACACGCTCAGCTGGACCTGACACAAACGCCTGTGCCCCATGGCTCCCCCAGATCCACAGCTGCCCCACAGCAGAGGCAGGGAGGGATCTCCAAGGTCCGAGGGCCTCCCACGCTGGGGGGGCACTTTTCCAGAGCAGGGGCAGCTGAGGGACGGGGCTGCAGAGGGTCAGCCCCTGGGCACCTCCACGCAGCTTTGCTAAATGTACACATTTAAATAATATTTATGAGACAGAGAAAAGGCCAGGGTAGGTTGAAATGATAGCTTTAAGAATCTAAGGACTTCCCTGGTGGTCCAGTGGCTAAGACTCCGTGCCTCTAATGCTGGGGGCCAGGGTTCAATTCCTGATCAGGGAACTAGATCCCACATGCTGCAACTAAGACCTGGCTCAGCCAAATAAATAAATATTTTTAAAAAAGAAGAAGACTCTAGCCCACAAAGAATGTAAACTGGTACAGCCACTGTGGAGAACAGTACAGAAGTTCTTCAAAAAAAAACTAAAAACAGAGTTGCCATATGATCCAGCAATCCCACTCCTGGCAGATACCTGGACAAAACTGTAATTCAAAATGATATGCAAAGCCCTGTGTTCATAGCAGCACTATTCACAATTGCCAAGACATGAAAACAACCTAAATGTACTTTGACTGATAAATGATGTGGTATATATACACAATGGAATGTTAGTCAGCCATAAAAAAGAATGAAAGAATGCCATTTGCCACAACATGGATGGACCTGGAGATTATCATACACAGTGAAGTCAAACAAAGACAAATAACATATGAATCACTTATATATGAAACCCAAAACATGACACAAGTGAACAGACTCAAAGAGAAGACCTGTGTTTGCCAAGAGGGAGGGGGGAGAGGAGGGAAGGACTGGGAGCTTGGGATTAGCAGACATCAATTATACATGGGCTCCCAGGTGGCATTAGAGGTAAAGAACCCACCTGCCAATGCAGGAGATGTAAGACACGTGGTTTCAATCCCCTGGGTTGGGAAGAATCCCTGGAGGAGGGCATGGCAACCCACTCCAGTATTCTTGCTTGGAGAATCCCATGGACAGAGAAGCCTAGTGGGCTATAGTCCATGGAGTCGCAAAGAGTTGGACACGACTGAAGCAATTCCGCACCCACACAACTATCATATATAGAATGGATAAACAACAAGGTCCTACTGTATAGTACAGGGAACTATATTCAATATCCTGTGATATTCCATAATGGGAATGAATATAAAAAAGAATGTATACATATATGTATAATTGAATCACTTTGTTGTACAGCAGAAATTAACAAAACCCTGTAAATCAACTACACTTCAATAAAGTAAGTTTAAAAAAAGAAAAGAATCTAGCCCACAAAAAACTCATGCAAACACAATAGGATATTCATGGGTGTGTTATCTTTAAAAACTGGAATCAACTGAAATGGCCATTAACAGAGGCCTGATTAGTTAAATAAACAATATAGCCTTAAAATTAACATGCAATAACATAGAAGCTTTTTTTTTTTAAGTAGATCTGTATGTCGAAAAGAACACTACTGATAAATTCTGGGAAAAAAATAACTAGAAATATATGTGTACTAGAACCCCATTGTTGTAAAACAGAACAAAACTACATCTCTTGAAGGTAAAGGTCAGCAAGGACAGAGACTGTTAATGATGTTTACAGTGAGAAGTTGGAAGAAAGGATTTTTTGGGATTTTTTTGGACACTGAAGCCCTTTGAATTTTCACACTTAGCACACACAGTAACAACAAAAGTGTTTGCCTGAGTCATTCCTTTCTAGTTCCATATCAGCTAAGCTGACTCACACCCCAGCCTCTGCCCCTGGCTCCACCCCATACCTCCTGCCCCAGCCCCACTTACAGATGCAGGCAGCAGCCAGCAGGCGGGCAGCAGCATAGGGGGCTAAGCAGTTTGGGAAGATGGGCTGCACCAGGTAGTTGGCAAAGGTGATGGCGATGACGGCCTGGCTAGTGGGCTCGATGATGAGGAGCGAGGTCCAGAGACGGATGAAGGCAAGGAGTCCCCCAAAAGCCTCAAGGATGTAGGCGTAGCTGGCCCCAGATTTCTTAATGGTCGTGCCCAGTTCTGCATAACAAAGTGCCCCAAAGACAGAGAAGACGCCCCCGACTGCCCAGATGACCAGGGAGAGGCCAAAGGAGGCACTGTAGATGAGCACGCCTTTGGGGGATACAAAGATGCCGGAACCAATCATATTCCCCACAATCAGGCACACGCCATTCAGCAGCGAGATCTCCTTCTTCAGCTGCACCTGCTCTGGCTTGGGGCTGGCGTCATTGGCCAAGGGGGTGGCATCCCTCTCCTGCTGGGAGGCCACTTCATATTTAACGCCGTCAACCATGGTGGAGGAGAAGAAAGCCTTCACCAGCTTCCTGGCATTGCCCTCTAAGGAAGAAAGATGAAGATATATATCAGGTTGGCAATTACAGAGAACTCTGCACCCCAGAAGCCAGCATAGGCAATCCACCCACGCCCACCATTTTGGAGACCCTTTGCCTCTGAATGGAATCTCTTCTCCATCTGGCTCATCAAAATGACCCCAACTTGAATCTTAAAAGAAAGGCATTCAATCCTCAGAGAGAAAACATGTTTCTCATCATTAGGCCGGCACTTCCCACCTGATTTACAAAATAGAAAACTAAATTCTGGTTCTATCTGAGCTCACTGGAGACAGGAAGACAAGCAGTTTGGCAGTTCCCAGGTGTCACTATCAAGACTTCAGCCTGTGTTTCAGCCTTACCCCCTAAAAGTCTGTCTTCCCTCCAATTTCAGCCTCATCTGTCACGTGATGAGATGCAACCTTGGAAACCAAACTTGCAAGCAGCTAACCTGTGGGTTCTCAACACAACACCGCCCTTTTCACCCAAGGACCCTGGCTCTGGCAAACCTAAAAGCTTCAGCGATCCCTTTCTCTGGAAACTCACAGCCATGCCCCTGCTCAGGGAGCATCCCATAACAACAGCTGAACTCTTCAGCCCCAGCAAAGGCCAAGCAGCTCAGCCCCATTGAGAAAGAAGACAGGTCCTTCACTTTCCCATGCTTTCCCTTTCCCAGATACCACAGCCCCTAGTCTGCAGGCCTCTAGCCATCAAATCCCTGCATAGTTGCATCACCCAAAAAAGGTAGGGATGAGAGATGGGTGCTCCAAATGTACAGCCCAACTAGAGATGACTGGAGGCGGCTGATGACCACCCCCCACCCAGGTGTTGCCACTGCACAGACAGCACCAAAGCCGAGGCAAGGAAACAGCTGAAGGGATAGCAGATGCCAGGCATCGCAGAGCAGGAAAAGCTAGGGGAAGACAGGTCAGGCTGGCCAAGCAAGTGGACAGATCCTAGGGCTAGAGGCACTCAGGAAAGGAAGCGATCGGACACTGCAGAGCAGTAAAGGCAGACTGGGCAAGATGAGCAGGGCTGAGGGGAAGCGGGGAAGCACACTCACTCCCCAGCCCTGAAGGAAGCAGGACGCCAGCAGCAGCCAGCCACACAGAGACCAGCCTCTGAGAGCTGTGGTCTGATCCCTCCTGCGTTTCAGTAAAAGGAAAGGCTAGGCAAATGCTTGTGGATTTAAGTCAAATCAAGAAATCAAGAAGGGAGGGGGGAGGAAAAGGGAGGGGTGTTAAGCAACTGTCTGGGTCCAAGGTTCACTGGCCTTTCACATCTACAAGAGGAAGGCTAGGAGCTCTTGGCTCAGCAGTTTCTGCGATAAGAAGGCGCTCTCAGGAATCTCCTTTGTCAGCTCTGCTCCAGGCAGGACTGGGGGCCCAGAAGAAAGGACCCATGGTCAGCTGAGTGCAGTTTCTGCAACCCCAGGGAAGTCCCCCCCCACCCCGCCCAACCCCGAGCAAATCAGCTGAGGACAGGGCTGCTGCCGAGAAGGAAGGCACTGCCCTCTCTCCCTGTCCTCCGGGCCCCACCTTAGCCCCCCTTCTCTCACCCCACCACTAGAAAGGTGGGAACGCGGCACGTTGTAACAGAGGTTTGTTCACATGCAGATTAGAGGAAGTGTAAGTACAGTCCAACTCGTGACCAAGTGTCCTAAGAGAACTCTGCACACTTCCCCACATACAGTGACGGTGGCTGCCCGAAATTTGTGCCATGACCCGAGGGCTGAGCCCAGGCTGCTTCCAAGATCAAAATGTGAGACTCCAACCTCTGGCTGCATCTGTGCCCCACTCACATGTCCTTTCATCCTTGAGAAAACATACCAGGATCTCTGCATAAATTCCTACAAACACCTTCCCCAAATACAAGTTTACTCCAATTTCCTAAAAATATGGGGAAAGAATTTTATTTCCAGAATTTTATTCTGGAAAGAACCTCTCCAGAGCTATACTGGAGAGGTCCAAAACAGAGGAAGTTGAGCATTTTGGGGAAAGCAAAAATTCTGTTTTTAGGGGCTACTTAAATTTGGTATTCCTGGTTTCTTTTATCAGCAGAAATGTGTTCATTTTGAAATGCAACTGTCTTTCTATCCCTTCTCAAGCCCTTTCACACCCCCTTTCCTTATTCAATTATCAGAGAACTAAGATCAAAAAAGCCCCAGGGGGCCTTATCGCCACCCTACAACCTCCCAACCAGTCCCTTAAACTTTTTTTTAACCCCCAGGAAGCTGATTCTGCTGTTAGCCTCCCCAGAGATCACGTGTCTCCCAAGCCACCCTCACAAAAAAGTCTTGAAATCCATCCAGAAGACTGTCCTTTTCTCCCAGCTCCCCACTAAATGCTTCTGTAATAGTAACTGTCATTTACCGAGCACTTACCTAAGCCAGACACACTGCTGAACATCTACATGCCTTATCTCATTTAATTCCGCCAGCAGCCTCACAAGGCAGACACTAAGTCACCTCCCAGGATGCCAAAGTAGCAAGGTAGGCAGGCAGGCTAGCCAACACAGCCCAAGCTCTGTCTCTTCAGCCTCCCCAGCCACTCTGACCTGCCCAGTCTCTAGCCCTCCTCTTAGGCAAGATGGCTCCCTAATGAATTATCTAGAGGAGGATGTGATTAGATTAAAAGAAAGTCTCCGCCATCCTTCAGCCTGAAGTCCAGGCTAAAGACTCCAACAAAGCCTGTCCATCTCCTTCCTGATTGCTTCTCCCCTTTCTCATCCCTTAGCAGGGATGAGAGGTGATTACAAGTCCTCCTGGCAGTGCTGCTATTTCTAGGGAGCCCACTTCTAAAGCAAACAAAGCACACGGAAACACATCATCATGCCAGGCTTTTGAAGATCAAATTCCCTGGCACCAAGGATGGGTATGTGTCCTAATGGGACATAATGGAAAGGGATGAAGGGGACGAGAGAAGAGGAAACCGTGACAGTGAGTGGGGAGTGACGTGTGCAGGGTTTAGTTCATGGTTGGTGGTATCTGAAAAGTACCAAAATCAGCATCACCCACTGGGGGTGAAACTCACACTCCAGCAAACAGCACACCCTAGTGGTCTCACCAGGAAATGCTTTCTCTGTAAGAGTAGAATCTTCTTCCTAGCCTACTCTTCAATAAACCGGCTCAAACTGGACGGAGGAGGCTGACTTGAGAGAAAAGATGCCCCATCGCATCTTTTCACTACTGCCCAGCACCAGCTCTGTGGGCAGGAAGGCACCATCTTTGGTGGTTCACATTCCTTCCTAAGACCCCAGCTCTCAAGGTAATGCCTCCAACCATTCAGGCAGCCTGGGGCCAGCATGACCTGCCCTGAACTGTTCTCTTACCCCAGGCTTTACAAGAGAATCTTGCAGAGTCTAGAACCTCAGGAGATAACCAGCGTTCCTGAGGTGCATACATCTCTGAGGACCTAGTGGAGATTACAGGACAACACACTCATCCAACAGAAGAAGTTTCAGATTCAGGGGGTCAGGGAACACAAGAAGCAGGGCTCTCAGCAGGCAGTGCCAGGCACAGCAGCCAGTGAAGCCCCTTGCCCTGACTCCTCCCATGAACAGCAAAACCCAGACACACCTCCTCCAGGAACCAGCGTACAGTTCCTCAGTCAAGCTCAGATTGCTGAAGTGGGAAGGCACTTTCTCCCCCAGATACCAGGTCCTACCATCCTAGCTCCAACTGGACTGTGCTGGCTCCCCAAACGACAGAAACAGAAAACAGACACACTCTGCTACTGCTGAATTCCCTCCATCTCCCCAAGCTGGAAGCTCAGCTCCTCCCTCCCCAGTTCTCCATTTGTTTTTCTGTATTCCACTACAACAGCCTCTTAAAAAAAAAAAAAGTGCAACAAGCAAGCAAGAAAGGATTTACTTCAATGACCATGGCTTCCACTAACACAGGGCTGAAGTCTCATGGCTGAGGGCTGAGACTGGGGAGGGCTGAGGCTAGGAAACAAACAACTTTCAGGACTCGCTCCATTCTCCTCCCGCAAGCACTTTCCCTCTTGCCCATTGTCCCTCCCATCCCATCACTTACCTGTCTGAGACCTTTGGACAGGTGCAAGGAGGAGCTACCAGCTCTCTGGAAGAGGGGCCGGCGCTGGGAAAGGGAACAAGGGGTAAGGCTCAAGCTCCAGTAACTGTTGACTCTGAGGAGCAGAAAAGGCAGAGGGTGACTCCGGGGACCGAAACGGAAAACAGGAAAACACATGTGTGACTCTGGCCGGCAGTGGGGAGGGGCCAGGGAACGAGTTGGAGCTGGGACTGCCTGTTCAGACCCTGAGGACCTCAACGGCTGCCTGCCTACAGGCACCTTCTCCACCCAGAGCCTCAGTTCCTCCCCCACCCGCCTCAGTCCCCGAACTACCTGGCTGTCCTACATTTACTCAGTTCTTAAGTTCTCCCAGTGACCTAGGGTACTCTTGATGCCCTTTGCATGCATGCATGCTCAGTGGCTTCAGACTCTTTGTGACCCCATGGACTGTAGCCCACCAGGCTCCTCTGTCTATCGGATTCTCCAGGCAAGAATACTGGAAAGGGTTGCCATGCCCTCCTCCAGGGGATTTTCCCGACCCAGGAATCAAACCCATGTCTCTTGCGTCTCCTGCATTGCAGGATTCTTCATCACTGAGCCACCAGGGGAGCCCCTTGATGCCCTTTACAACTCCCCTGGCTCCTCACTCCATTCCCTGCTCAACTCCCACTCACACACTATCCTTGGTCCTGTGGAGGGCACAAGATCCATGGTTAGGGCATTAGAACTCTGTGCTCCCATCTCAAAAGCCTCAGCCACTTCAATCCCTATGTAGGGCAGCACATGCCGAGGAAGGCCAGTTGTGGGGGGTACAGCCACGCACACACCCAAACACTAAGCAAATCTGCTCACACTTCAGGTCCCCAACTGGTTCAGGTGACGCGTGGCAACCCAGGTAAGAGCCAGGCAAGTGGACCAGAGCAAGCCCTGGCACCCTGGGCAATTTAATGAGTTGGCACCCCCTTAAACCAAGATTATTTAAATATGTTGAATGTTTACTTAGCAGAAGTGGGGGAATACCAATTTTCTCAGAATAAAAGTTGGAAGCCTCATTCTTTCTATTCAAGAGTAGAGTTTAAGGCATGAATTCATTACATGCAGTTTTCTGAAGCAGACAGCTTCTTAGTAGGCAAATCAAACGATTTTGAATGTAGGCAATAGCACAAGTCTCAGGGAGTGGCACTTCACAACGAGGTGCAGCATTTTCCGAATTCCAGCTGTGACCACTGCCTTTAGGCAACTTGTATTAATACCTGTACCTGCAGGTTGCACAATTATTCTAGAGACAGGTGGTCTAGGTAAACAGTCATCAAGGATTCTGTCAGTGGAAGGAAGCCAACTTACAGTTCACCAAGAGACAGAAATCAGAGCTCATCGGCTCCAGAAGTCTGAATTACTCCAGGATAATTCAGGGCCCTTTTAGACCCAGGCTGGCCTGCCCCTTAATCCCACCCTGGACTCAGGGCCAAGTTGTAAATGAGGGAAATCCTAGGAAGACAGTCCTAAGGCTGCCCCTGTTGGAAATGGTACCTACCCACCTCCCCTCACTCCAGCCACGCTGGCCCCCTTGCTGTTGCCACAGAAGCCCTGACATCTCTAATCATCTGCATTTGCTGTGCCCTTGGCCTGGAACATTCTTCCCCATGATATTGCTCTTTGTCTCACTCATTCCGTTCAGGTCTGTGCTTAAACACCACTCTCAAGAGACCTTCCCTGAGGAGTCTCTGAAGGAGTAACTTCTTCCTTCAGCAAATCTCCATCCCCTTCACCTTGCCTGACTTTTCTTTAAAGGCACCAGCTATCACCTGGAGTGAGTTTGTTGTCACTTCCCCCACTAGAACGTAGCCCCACGGGAGCTTCTTCATTCACCGGTATCCCCAGCGCAGGGTCCGTGTAGACAGTCCAAAAAAAGGTCTGCTGGAAGAATAACTGGATGAATAATGCCTTTCTTCCTCGACTGGTTTCCAAGTTGAGCTCCGGGAATGTCTTGCACTTGCTCTTCAGGCCCTCCTATGCTGGCCTGGCTCCCATGCAACTTTGAAAGGTATCTACTCTTTTATAGTAATGGGTTGAAGGGAAGGAAAAAGTATAGTTTTCTCAGTTTTACTGGGAGGCCTAGAATGGTTTGAAAAGGACTTTCTGTTTCACCAATGGGAAAAAAAAACAAAAAACAAAAAGCACCTCATTAACGCGCCTTCCGCGATCGATCGGAAGCTCTGTGCTGCTGTCCCACACCCAGGCTCAGGTGGCCGGTCTGGGCGCGGCGAGAACAAGGCGCGACGTCGGCGAAGCGGTGAAAGGACAGAGGGGACGAAGGCGGAGTGAGGCGAGTGCTCAGGTTCACGCAGATGCAGGTGGGCTCGAGCAGAGCGGACCCTGCAGGAGCTCCTCCGGCGGGAACTCTTTTCCCAGCCCCGCCCCCGCAGCGCCCCTCGCCCCTCCCCCCGCCCCCGCCGGGCCGGCGCGCCGCGCTCACCTTTGCCCCGGTCTCCCACTCTGCCCCCAAGCCGGGCTCTCCGGCCCCGCCTCTTGACGTCGTCCCCGTCGTTTCCCGTTACTTCCCTCTTTCGGCCCTCTTTCCGTGTCTGCAGCCCCAGGGTCTCGCCTTCCCAACCCCGACCCAGCCACTGCCCGTCCCCAAAGCCCTCTGGAGAGCTCGGTTAGCCCCCGATGTCCAGATCTGGCTGCGGAGGCCGAGGCGGGCTCTGCGCTGGGGCACCAGGACCTCACCTCACCTGGACCCCTTCGTTCCCTCCACCTGGCCAAGCGGCCCCCGCCCCTCCCCGGGCTGCAGGAGGCGCTAGAAGCGGGGGGATTGTGGTGGGTGTAGTCGAAGATCGCAAAGGTTCGAGAACCGAGAGGCCCCGCAACCCGCTCCCCTGCCCTGCCCTCGCTCAGCCAGAGCTGCGCTGCCCTTGGGAAATGAAAATGACCGCGGATACCCTTAGAGGCGTCCTCCGCCCCACAAGCGCTCAGCTTCCTCTTCCCTCCCCACCCCCCAAATCCAGCTCGAGCTCGCGGGCCCGAGGGGCTCTGGGCGAGGGCCCCAAACCCTGGCAACCCTGCCTCCAACCCCGAGACGTTCTCGGCTGAAACTCCGGAGGGACTCTGGACCGCAAAGCACCTTGGGGGAGGGGAGGGAGACGTTCCCGCTAGGAGCCAGGGGAGGGGTCTCCCGGAAGGGCGACTCAACTCTCCGCCCCCTCGGGGAAGCTGTTGCGTCAGCTTCGAGATCCCAAATTAAAGCAAGTGGTCTCCACCCGGCTGGAAGGTATCAGGCCGTAGAGCCGCCGCCAGGAGGCAGCACGTAACCAAAGATGTCCGAGCTGAGGGTACCCCAGAGGCTGGAGTCCCCACCGCACCTTTCCTGAACCCAATAAAAGGGAGTTGCTGGGCTAATTCAAGGAAAGGAATCTGGAAATGTTTCACCACGTTTTAAAACTAAAAGATGACTTGTAAATAATACAATTTCCTTTTGTATACTTTATGGACAGTCCAGCTTTGGCATCTTTTAAAGCCAAAGATTCACTGCAGAGATTCATAACGAACCACCCACCTTCAAGACCCGTCTGGTGGAAAAGCACACAGCTTAAGAGACTTCCCAGGGACAAGGCAAGAAAAAAAAAAGTGTAGCCCTGAGGTTATAATTTACCCATGTTGAAGCTGGGGCATTTAACACACAATTTAGCCTATACTGAATGAGCAAGGATTTGACAGCCATGGGAAAAGAAAAGGAATATGTTACAATAAATTACATAAGCAATAAGGAAATAATATGCAAAGCTATGTATTGTGTGAGTGGGTGGTTTATAGCTGTCAGTTCCCACAGTTCTTGCGTTGAGTGACAGTGATGTAGATCTTTGTTGAGCTGTCCTAAGAAGGAATGTGAAACAAGACACTTCCCAAATAGCTCACTTTTCTTCAATCTTAGAATTTAGTCACCCAATGCTGAAAGAGGAAGAGGTTGCAAAATGAGGTGGAATTAGCCACTGAGAGTCAGCCTTACTTATGTTTTTTCTCCAAAGTCATCATTACTCATCACAACAGTTTGAAAAGAACCAAAATTCTCAGTGCACTTGTACAGAAATTACTCTATACAGACCTGACAGAAAGATATTTGAATAAACATGTTGGACAAAAACATCAGTGGTTAAACAAAATGTTAACGCCAAATACAGGTCATGGTGTGAAGCCCTTGAGAGGCAAAGGACTTTAAGGGGGAAAGACATGGAGCTCAGATTCCTGATATTTCTCACCATTGTTACCTCCAGCCTTTGCCAGATGAAGTCCAGAGGTTGAAAGACATTGAGTTAGGGGATGATGAAGCCGCTTTCCTGTGGCTTTCAGTCTGGAGAAGTCACTGAGGAGTGCTGTCCAAGTGCCAAAACCCTCCCCCTGCAACAGTGTTCCATAAGGTCCCTGAGAATGCCGATGATGTTAGCTGTCAGCACCTAGAGTTCTCTTTCTCTCTCCCTCTCAAAATCCTAACACCTATTTCCTGCTATTTACCACCCACAGATTGTCCCCCTGCCACATCACTCTAACCACGTCAAAGGCTGAACTTATCTTCCTTCCAAAGACCTTTCCCTTCCCGCATTCCCCAGTTTTTCAGATTTAGCTTCCCATCCTGCCCTGAAATCCTCCAGCCCTGGCTCCTCGACTCCCACAGCTATTAAACTAGTACATGTGTTAACTTTTGCATGTGGAGTTCATACTGTCTACATTATTTTTTTCTAATATTTATTTATCTTTGGTGATTTCTTTACAATATTGAGTTATGTCATACATCAACATGAATTAACCACAGGTTTACATATGCCCCCTCCCTCTTGAATCTCTCTCCCACCTCCTGCCCATTCCCACCCCTCTAGGTTGTTACAGAGCCCCAGTTTGAGTTCCCTGAGTCATACAACAAATTTCCATTGACTTTCTATTTACATCTGTTAGTGTATATTCTTCCATACTACTCTATTCATCTCACCCTCTCCCTCTTTTCCCCCACACTTGCCCATAAGTCTGTTCTCTATGTCTGTGTCTCCATTGCTGCTCTGAGAAGTTTCATCAGTACCATCCATCTAGAATTCATGTATATGTGTTAATATATGATATTTGTTTTTCTCTTTCTGACCTACTTCACTCTGTATAATAGGTTCTAGGTTCATCCACCTCATTAGAACTGACTCAAATGTGTTCCTTTTAATGGCTGAGTACTATTCCATTGTGTATATGTACCACAACTTCTTTATCCACTCATCTGTCGATGGACATCTAGGTTGTTTCTATGTCTTAGCTATTGTAAATAGTGCTGCAATGAACATTGGGGTACATGTGTCTTTTCCAGTTTTGGTTTCTTCAGGGTACATACCTAGAAGTGGCATTGCTGGGTCATATGGTGGTTTTATTCCTAGTTTTTTAAGGACTCTCCATACTGTCTTCCATAGTGACTGTATCAATTCATATTCCCATCAGCAGTGCAGGAGGGTTCCCTTTTCTCCACACATTCCCCAGGACTTATTGTTTGTGGATTTTTTTGATTATGGCAATTCCGTCTAGTGTGAGATGATTTATCATTGTAGTTTTGATTTGCATTTCTCTAATGAGTGATGGTGAGCATCTCTTCATGTGTGTATTAGCTATCTGTATGTCTTTGGAGAAATTATCATCTACTTTATCAGTTCACCTTAATGCATGTGGCCTTTTCTATGATTTTGTACCCATAGTGTATGAGTTACTAGAAGACATAAGTATCGCTGGTTTAACTTCTTTATATAGTGTTGATGGTAGTGCCAGCCTGCTTTCCTATGAATCTTGAATGTTAACACCGACTTTATTTTTCCAGCCCTTGGTTTCTATTACTTGATTGTCCAACTGTAAATTATGTGATGGCATTTCAGTGCTGTCTGCCTCAGCTGCCTCTCAGAACCAGCCAAAGACACATGGAGGCTGGCTTGGGAAAGGTGTTAGTCAGTCATTGTTGCAACTGTAAAATAAATCCACAGCCACATTTTGCTTCAACTTCCTGATCTCTGAAAATTACAAGCCATCTCCATAGTGACTGCTTCCTGCTCTGTCTTATCTACTTTATAGGTTTATTGTGAAAATTTCAATAGAAGTGTTTATATCATTTATACAGAAGTGTTTTGATAACTGAAAACTAAGTGTATGAATGTAAAATGGTAACGGTACTCTATGGTGTTACTTCCCTCGCTAAGTTTTTGGGTCCATCCATTGGCTTATAGCCAAGGTTGTTTCATTCTCATCCTTTTTTCTAGTTCAGCCCTCCCCTATACCATTCTTATTGTTATCCAAACAGTCGCCTTTTACTCCTTAAACCAGGATCCACCCTTCCCCTCTTTCAAAGTGCAGTTCAGAGCCACCTCCTGTGGAAAAACTTCCCAGTCTTGCAGAAGGAAATGATAAACTTCCAGATAGACCATTACACCACTCCCTCAGGTTTCCCTAGTCAGCATGCATTTAAGTGGCTAGCCTAGCACAAGAGTAATGGACACTTCTGTAAAAGCGTCACCATTTTTATAGCACTTTCACTTATGTTATCATTTTTAAAATGTTTTTATAAATGTGATATATTCAGCTCTCTTGTCAATGAAGAAGTTAAAGATAAATGACTTCCCCAGGGTAAGTACAGGCATACCTCAAGATAGTTCAGGTTCAGTTTCAGACCACCTTAATAAAAGAAATATCACAATAAAGAGAATCACATGAATTTTTTAGTCTCCCAGTACATGTAACATTACGTTTACACTACATTATGGTCTATTAAGTGTGACTAGCATTTGTTATTTTTCAGTCATGTCTGATTCTTTGCAACTCCATGAACTACAGCACTCCAGGCTTCTCTGTCCATCACTCTCTCCCTATCATTATGTCTTTAAAAAAAAAAAAATTTAATTGAAAAGGTGCTAAAAAATGTCAAAACAATTACAGGAGTAACATCAAAGATCACTGATCACAGTTCACCTTAACAGTAATGCCAAAGTCTGAACTATCTCAAGAATTAACAAAATATGACACAGAGGCACGAAGAATGAATGCTCTTTGAAAAATCTGGCACTGGTAAGACGTTCTATGCAACGTTGCTACAAACCTTCAATTCGTAAAAAATGCAGTACTTGCAAAGCACAATAAAAGTATGTCTGTAAGTGATTTAAGATTAAAAAAAAAAAAAAAAAGAGGGAGGAAGCCACAGGATCTGGGTTTGCTACTTACTAGTACCTGCCTCACAAGGCTTTCCCATGGATAGTACACAATGTGCGGTGGTAGCTTTATAAAATGGAATCAGGTCTTAGCTCCAATTCGGCTTCCTCAAGAAAGCCTTCTTTGACACTATACTCCAGATCAAGTTTTCATGATATGCTTACAAGCAACACCTACTTCCCTTCCCAGTACTCATCTCAGCTATAATATTACTGTAATGTATATGATTACTGTCCTCTTTCTCTAGACTGGGAGCTGCATCCGAATAGGGACCTTTGCTTTGCTCTCCACACTGACTACAGTGCTCCTCACATGTAAGCTCTTCAATTTTGTTAAATGAGTGAGAACTGAAACCCTAATTTTTATTCACTGTAGATTTCACTCCGGCTGAGGAAAACATGTTACAGTGATGCTAGAAGACAGAATGAGGTCACGTGTATGTTACTCAACTGAGATAAATTTCAAAGGACTAGTGACCGTGGCTAGGAGATAGAAGGCTGTGGGGAGACAGTCCAGAACGGTTTCGTCTGAGAGGACGTGACTTCCACAAAGTTGTACCCAACACTAAGAACACATACTCAGAACAACCGCTCTCCCGTAAAACACCCTGGAAGCAGTTTTGCCCCTCTTTTCCGTACGATGAGCCAAGATGGCGAAGCCCGTGTTTGAATACCAGATTCAAGATGGCGACTTCCTGCTTCCCGCGCAGCGTCGCGCGTGGCCAGCGAGGCCACGCCTACTTCCGGCTCCTGCACCTCAGCATGGCTGCTTTGGGTATACTGCTGTTTAGTAAGTGGGTGTGAGTTCGGTGGGCTCCGGAGTTTGTCGGGGTGGGCCCCGGATCCCTGGCTGTGCGGCCTCTCTCCCAGCTCTGCCCCGTTTTCCCAGCAGGTGTCCGGAGACTGCACTGCGGCGCCGCGGCTCGGGCAGGCAGCCAGTGGCGACTCCGGTGAGTGCCCATCTGGAAGAAACTGGGGGGCCAGAAGTTGGCCTGAGTCCTCACCGAACTGTTTTTCTCCGTCCAGGCAGGGCCTTGCTGCCAACCCCTCCGGCTACGGGCCCCTTACGGAGCTCCCAGACTGGTCGTACGCGGGTGAGCGCTGATCTGACTGTTAACTCCACGTCGGAGATTATCACCCTGAGGGAACACCCCTGGACGTAGCGGAGAGGGGAGTGGGGGGAAGGAGTGTCAAAGTGGAGGTGTGTCTGAGCGGACAACTCACTGAACTTTATATCTGTAGTTGGGAGGGAAGAAACCCTGTTGTTTACTTTGTGAATTAAACTACACCTGTGGAAAGTAAAGCTGGACGGAATCTCTTGGCTTGTGGGGATAAGCAGAAAATAATTCTGATTTAGAGGGTCACCGGGGAGAGACAAGACTTTGTGTTGTCAAAGAGGGACGTGATTTTCTCAAAGTTAGGAAGGGGACTTCCCTGTTGGTTCAGTGGCTAGGACTCCGTGCTCCCAATGCAGGGAACCTGGGTTCGATCTGATTGGGAAACTAGATCACACGTGCCACAACTGAGAGTTTGCTTGCAGCAGCTAAAGATGCCGCAGGCCACAACTAAGACCTGGTACAGTCAACTAAATAATAAACATTTTTTAAAAGTTACAAAGAACTGCCCTTCTGCGGGGGGAGTACATTGTTGGGAGTTTGTTACCAAATGCAGGGAGAGCTTTTTGAAAGGCTGCCTAAATCATCCTCTGAGAGAGGCTTAGAAGAGTGAGGACAGAGGTGGTGGGTTCCCTTTGAAAAAAGTTTCTTTCTTTAAAAAAAAAAAAAGGCCTTAAAGAGAAGGACTTTAGAAAAGCTGAAGCCACTCCCCACTCCATTGGAACTCCAGTTCAGAAGTGGGAAAATTGAGGCCTAAAGAAGTAAATTGTCTGGGAGCACACAGCTAGGTAATAGCAAATCCAAGACTAGAACTGGGCAGAGACCAGGCCTCCTTCAACAGCACGGAGTATAGTTTATAGGAGTATGAAAAAAATAGTGAAAGTCAGTCACACAGTCATGTCTCACTTTGCAATCCCATGGACTCTAGTCCGCCAGGCTCCTGTCCTTGGAATTCTCCAGGCAAGAGTCCTGGAGAGGGTTGCCATTTATAGGGGTATAAACCTGGTTAATCAGATATGTGGTGGCTGAGGAGGATGGGGAAGATTTTATTCTACTTGTTATTTACTGTAGGAAGTCTAGGCTTTCTTGAAATATTGGAAGGACTCTGGAGTTAATTTTTTTAAGTTTTTTTTTTTTTAATGCGGACGATTTTTAAAGTCTTTATTGAGTTTGTTACAATATTGTTCCTGTTTTTTTATGTCTTGCTGGCTTTTTTGTTTTTGTTTTTTGACCTCAAGACATGTGGGATCTTAGCTCCTTTTGTGGCACAGCACAGGCTTAATTGCCCCACAGCATGTCCCCTGCATTGGAAATTGGATTCTTAACCACTGGACCACCAGGAAAGTCCTAGAATTCTTAATCCAGACTTCCTTCTCTACTTGCTAACTTTATGGTCTTGGACAAGTTACTTAATTGTATCTCTCAGTTTCCACTTCTGTAGAAGGATATGTATCTCATGGTTCTTGTAAGCAGAAAATGAAACATCCAATGTAAAACACCTGATGTACACAGTATTGGTTCCCTTTCTTGATGAATAATATCTCTTATTTGTCTTGCTTTCAAACTTTGGCAGAGTTTTCACTCTCTTTGTAGAAAGTATCCTTTTAATCTCCATTATAAACTACTTGAGATCAAGATACTGCATCTTTCTTTTTTCCAGCAAGTCAGCAGATGGTTATGAGATTTTTATTATGTGCCTACACTATATATATTACAGTGAAAGTAAGGGATATAGTCCTTGATCCCAAGGAACTTAAAGTCTTAGCTGGAAAAACAAAGCATGACATTTTAAAGATTAATTAATATTTCAATGCTCTGTCTCTTTCCAGAAGAATTTGAGATAGCTAAATAAGACTAAAAATAATTAGTAGTACAGTAAATGTCCCCAAGTAGTAGGTTCCTCTGTCCATGGGATTCTCCAGGCAAGGATACTGGAGTGGATTGCCATTTCCTTCTCCAGGGGACCTTCCTGAGCCAGGGATCAGACCCAGGTCTCCTGCATTGCAGGCAGATTCTTTACTGTCTGAGCTACAGGGAAGCCCTTAAATGTCCCGAAATAGATAAATATTAAATGATGGAGATGCATTTCTTTCAGAAGAGAGTGACAAAGTTGAAGAGGTTAGAGAAGGGTTTCTGGGACAAGTAGGGCTGGAGGTAGGCCTAAGAATGAGAATTTGGCTGGAAGGAAAGGAAAAGAGGATATTTCATCATAGAGTGAGATAGAATTCAGCAAGGACTCGGTGAGTAGAAGAGTAATCAGATTGCTTGAGTGGAGGGTTTCTGAAGATAAAACAGGAGATTCAGCATCTCAAAGGACCTTGAATTCTAGGCTAATGAGGCACGGTGAGTAGAGTAGAGTAGGAACATGACTAGGAGCTTATTCTTGGTGGTTCTGGCATACTTCACCATTGAAGATGAAGGAAGTGTTCTAGGGGAATGAAGCTACAGTGGGTATGAAATAGAAGAGAGGAGCTTGAGATAGGTTCTTCCCTCTTTTGCTGCCACAGCCACTTGGCCAGGGTATTGTAGACTCTATAACACTTGCCTCTCCTTTCACTTCTATCTGCAGATGGCCGCCCTGCTCCTCCAATGAAAGGCCAGCTTCGAAGAAAAGCCCAAAGGGAAAAGTTTGCGGTAAGTGGCTAGATCTCCAGCCAGAACAAACTGTAACAGGCGGGAGAACATTTAAATTGTAATTTGTCCTGAGTTGGCACCTAAGCTGACATGTACCCCTTACTTGGAGGTTTTAGCCACTGAAGGTTTTAACAGTTCTGTGAGAAGGGAGAATAGACTGGGGCACTCCTAGGGCAGGAACCAATGGTAGACACCCATTTTGCTTCCTTCCTCCTGCTTGCCAGCCCAGGACCTGGTTCCACCCCTTCCCCAAGCAGTGGTGTCACTTTCCAACCGAAACCTGACTTTGATCTGTGAATGAAAGGATATATGGTGCAGAGCTCAAGCCCCAGATGTTATCCACACTGTTTTCCTGTCTGTTTCAGAGACGAGTTGTACTGCTGTCACAGGAAATGGATGCTGGATTACAGGCATGGCAGCTCAGACAGCAGGAGAAGTTGCAGGAAGAAAAAAGGAAGCAGCAGAATGCTCTTAAACCCAAAGGGGCTCTACTACAAAACCCACGACCAAGTCAATAAAAAAGCAACTCCTATCTCCCTTCCCAAGCCTGTCTCTGGCTTTCTTTTCTATTACCTGGATGTGTCATCCCTTCCAGAAGAAAGCCTTATGTTCCCCATCAGGGCAAAAGGGACACCAAGAATAACGGGCTATAAACCACTGCCTGGAAGGATTGACTCAGTCCCCTCACCCCCAGCCCCATCCCAGTTCAGCAGAATCTTACTGTGGAGTATTTACTCCCTCATTTACAAGCCATAGGACTGGCCCAACTATGAGCAGTAGTAGCTGCTATGCAAACATGATAAAGGGGGCAACAGTTTTCCTGGTTTTAGCCCGGCACTCAAGCCTTTAACAGCCCATACACAGTTGAGGCCACATGCAGTTATGCATTTAATAAATATTTTGATGCAAAAGGCTTTCTAGCTGAGATCTACTTTTTGGCAAGAAAACTATCAGTTTTCCTACACTTCAGGTAGATGGCCCTAGAGGATACTCCCACTGGGAAGGCGGACATGGGAAGAGCCAACGTGGGTGTTGCATGTTCTGCTGAAGAGTTGGATCCTGAGGTTTCTGTGGTTCTGACTGAATTCCAGAGGTTGGTTGGAGAGAGGTCCAGATTTCCCGACTTCCATTTGTATAGGGGAGCCCTGAGGTGCTCAGCCCCCAAACAGTCACTGTTGTAATGGGCACCTATTAGTCACCATGTACTTCCATAAGTCCTTTAGCTGCACAGGCCTCGGGAAACATTTCCTTTTATTGGTCATGGCTCCTTCTGTTAGGGGGGAAGCACACTGATTGAAACCGCCCACCCTGGCCAGACACCATAGTAACCATTTGCGTGAGTTTTCTGACAGGAGATCCTGATAAGGAATATGGAACTAGTAAGCCACCACCAACCTGAAGAGTTCGGGAAAGGTCAAAAGGGGACACCGCGTGTCCTCCACTTTCCAGAATCCCTCTCGCTAGCATCCATCTTGGCTGAGTGATGCGTGCGCCACCAGGAAAGACTCTGAATTAGAATGATTGGCCAGAGACCACCCAGAAACTAATCCCATCACCATAAAACCCAAGACTTCCAGCCATGCGCCAGAGCAGTTTTCCTGGGTTCCCTCACCCTCCTGCTCTCCACCCAGGTGCCCTTTCCCAATAAAATCTCTTGCTTTGTCAGCATGTGTCTCCTCGGACAATTCATTTCCGAGTGTTAGACAAGAGCCCAGTTTCAGGCCCTGGAAGGGGTCCCCCTTCCTGCAACACTCACATGGATTCTGAGAGGAAAAGGACCCATTACAGTACAGAGTACTGGACTTTTCCATTTTCCTGCTGCAAAATGTGGAAGTTCCTGGATCTCTAGGATTTATGGGACTTTCTACCTGAAATAATTTCTGTCCAGCCTCCTTTATTCCTTCCCTTGTTTTCCCTCCCCTCTTCACCCCCACCCCCCACTACCTCCTTCCTCTCTGGCTGACCAGTGCAATTCTTGGATCTTAAATTTTGCTGATGGTCGACTTTTCTGTCTCCCACACTTTTCCTGATTCTTTTGTGTTGCTTTTCCAGATCTAGCCCTCAACCTCTTATCTGTCTCCCTTTCCCTCTGCCTGCCCTGGCTGGCCCTCCCCCTTCTCTGCATAACTCCATCTTTTGTTCTCAGAGTCTAGGCCGCCCTTGAAGGAGGAGGGTATGCTTTCCAAGGGACCGTCTCCTTTTCCAGTGTAGAGGTGGAACCCCCATAGTCCTGACTCCTAGCCCCTCTTTTCTGCAATCTTACCAAACTTCATTTGTCTTCCCCCAGATGCCATGGCCTTGCACTCCTTTCCCGCTGTAGTTTAAGGGGCAGTAGATCACAAAAGACAATAATAAAGGGAGCACATGTGTCTTTCTACAAAGACAGGAACCCCAGATCCAGTGTGGTTGTGGGATTTGTCAGTGGGTAGTTGCATTTTGTTATTGTTGCATTCACCACCACCCCACCCCCCTGCAGGGGAGGGACAGGTGGTCGTCAAGAATAAGGGGCAAAAAATTCTATATGGTCAAGCCACAGGTCCCAGCAGACAAGCCCCCAAACCAGATCTCTTGAACATGGAAGACCCCACCACTACCATCCCAGACTGAGCTCCTTGTTTGCCCCACCACTGAGCCTAGCACTTCCCACGGAAATGAAACAAATGCTGAAAGCAGAGGAATCAAGCCACCCAAAATATGCTTAGAAGGAAAAAGTGTCCCACATCCCGTCCCCTGAGTCCCCCCAAGCCCCCCGCTCTTGGCCTCAACCCCTGCAGATGGCAGCCTCCACCACAGAAAGGCAACTTAGGAGTTTTTTTTTTTTTTTTTTTTAACCCGACTTTTGGCTGTAATTGGATTCAGGCTGAAACAACCACGTCCGCACCGGGAAAGGAGGGCATAGGGGCGGGGGCGGAGGGAGGCTGTGGGAGAATTCTGGGAGGGACCAGAGAAGAGAGCAAGAGAGGGCTCGCAATCCAGTTCGCCGACTAAGCAGAAGAAAGATCAAAAAACGGGAAAGAGGGGACGAGCAAAGAGGCGCCTTCAAGACCGATTCCCTCATCTCCACGTGGACAGCGCTCTGGGAATCCAAATTCAGTGCCTACGGAAGACAAAGGCGCCCCCGAGGGAGTGGCGGCGCGACCCCAGGGCTTGGGCCCGGCCGCGGAGCCCGCTTGGCCCGGCTGCCCGGACAGTCGCGGACCATGTCTCCCGCCCCACGACCCGCCTGCAGTCTTCTGCTCCCGGTGCTCACGCTCGCCTCCGCGCTCGCCTCCCTCAGCTCTGCCCAGAGCAGCTTCAGCCCCGAAGTAAGTGAGCTCCTCCGGCCCTGTCCGGAGTCGCGCCCGGGGAGGCGAGCCCGGGGGTCTCCGAGAGAACAGCCCCGGATCGGAGGGGCGAGCGCTCGGGATGCCGGCTCCTCCGGCCTGCAGGCTCCCCCTTCCTCTCCACTTACTCTCCTTTCCGTCCTCATCTCCAAACTTTCAAGTCCATCGACTTTGCCTCCTCCAACCACCCCCCACCCCACTGCGCGCTGCCGACTTTCTGTCCCGTTCCTTTCCTTGTAAGAGCTTTCCAGCCGAAGCCCACTCCGCACCCCTCCCCAGCTCCCCTGGGCTCTAAGCTCAGTTCTGCAACGGGTCGGGAACCTGATAAATATCTGGACTCCGCTCAGAGCCCGCGCTGTCCTGGTTTCTTGTCCTGTGCTAGTTTGTTGTTCCTTCAACTTTCCAGCTCGCAGGCGCTCGGCCGGCCGCGAGGCTCGGGGGATCGCGGCCCGGGCCCCCCACGCTGCGCCCTCCGCCGCCGCCTCCCGGGCGGTCCCGACCCTCTTCGGACACATCGGCTGCCAGGTGCGGTCGGGGGTGGACGGCGGAGCGGCCCCGGCCCCCATCCCACCCCCGCCTCCCCGAGAGGACCCTCTGCGTCCCGGCCCGCAGCCCTGGCGTCGAGGGTCACGGCGCTGGCGCCCTGGCCCGGGTTTCCGGACAAAGCTCTCCTTGTGAGCTGGGGGCTCGACAGGGCCGCCGCCTCCTCGCCCTGCTCCCGCTTCGGCGCCTTTAGGCTTTTTTGGTTAATTGCTTTTTTGTGTTAATTGCACGGAGACTTAGGGGCTTCGTACGGGGAGCGGAGTGAGGGGCCTGGCCCAGGGCGCCCGCACAGGTCTTCTCTGACTCGGTTGCCCCCCGCTTCTCCTCCCCGAAACTGGCCCACCGGGCCCGGGAGGAAGCCGCGTGGGAGTTGTCTGAGAAAGTTTTTCCTCTCTCTCTCTTTTATTTTGGGGTGAAGGTGGGAGACGGATTTGATCAGTTTCTTATTTTGGGCCATCCCAACCCACTCAGCTCAGCCAGGGCCTGGGTGCGGTCGGGAGGGGCAGGGAAGGGCCCCTGAGCAGGGGGAGGGGATCTGGACTTGGCTTCCTCCCTTCTGGTCCCGGCGCTGGTCCCACCCCCGGAGGAAACCTCTCCAGAAAGAACACACTCTCTCTGTCCTGAAGGGATCTAAAGCTGACAGAAGTGTGGCCCTCGGAAGGGGGGCGACCAGGGAGAGCGAAAATCTGCCCGGGCTAAGCCTGACTCGGTCCAGGAGGAGGCACCCTGTTTCCAGGCCTGGAGTCTTCATCAGAGGCCTAAAGGGGAGAGCTCCTAACAAAAGGAGCCTGGGCATCTGGGGGCTTCCTGCTGCCAACTTCACCAGCCCTGTCTTCCTTCCCTCCCCTACCCCACTAGGTCCCCTAAAGGAGGGGCCGCAGACCTGGCTGTGTTTTAAGTGGGTCATGGGCAGTCACAGTGCCAGAACCACCGTTTGCTTCTGAGCCATGGAGGGGTGGGAGGCAGAAGGAGGGAGGAGAAGGCCCAGAGGCTGGAATCCAGGGCCTGCAGAAGAGCCAGAGATCCCTCCAACTCCTCTCCAGGATGCTTAGGCAGAGAAGTGGGCCCAGGAGTGGAAAGGGGTTCCTTGTCCTTGACTTCCCCCAGGGGAATACCTTGCACCTCTCAATTTTCAAGACAAAGCCAGCCAACTGAGTTCTCTGACCCTACTGAGTTGCTCCCTCTCCGGGCTCCCTTCTAGCACCTCCGGAGTCCTGCACCAGCTCCGGACAGACAGCACTCTCCTCCCCTTGGCCAGTCTGGCACTTGGCCCTTCCCCCACTCGGCCGCAGACACAAGAGTCCTCTCTTCTGTGGTTCAGACCTCATAGTCTCCTCTGTGGTTCTTGCTTTGCTCAGAGCCTAGGCCTGGAAGGAGGAGAGGAATGGGGGGCACTTCCTTTCCAGGACTTGCGGCTCTCTTGACTCCAGAAAGTCCCTTTCTTGACTAAGTCCCCACCTTTCTCTACCAGATTTGGATAGGGTGGAGGTTGGTGGATGTGAATATTCAGACCTGTCTGCCTGCTTGAAAGAGACTTCGCCATGAGGGATTTATCCCAGAGCTCCTGGATGTGGGTTTCCCCCACCTCTCTGCTGCCCTCCGTTCTGTCATCCTGCCCTAGGAGCTTTGCCCCGCTGAGGGTTCGGGGCCTGACCTCCGTCTTCCTGCCAGCTCCAACAGCAGTGGGCCATTCCCATCTTTTCTCAAAGTTGAAGCAGCTGCTCCCCTAACAGAGGGCATAAGCCCAGGGGTGTGTCTACCCTACAGGTGAGGCCAGGGGCAGAGGGAGTTTCCTGCATACTTGGGCACAGGGCCACAGCAGGTCTCCTGCAGGCACTAGCTGTGGCATCAGTCAGCACAGGTCAGGGCAGGTTTAGAGCTCCCCAGAGAGCAGCCCGGGATAGGAGCCTTCTGCTCTGCTCCCCAGAGGTTAAACTTTGCTCCCCCTCCCCCACCCCGAGGAGGGGCTCTCAGAGCGGGTGGTGCTGGGGTTGTTCTGGCCAGGCCTGTTGGCTGAGGAAAAGCTGGGTTGTTTACATC